CCGGGTGGGTTCTGCGGGTGAGAGGCAGGTGGGAGCGTGGCCCCATCCCCATCCTCACGGTCTAGGGACGGATGCTGCAGCCAGAACAGCCTCACCAGCTGGGACCCGCAGGGTGCTTCTGTCCCCACTGGTCATCGCTGGCACCGAACAGCAGTTCCAGAAAAATGGGAAAAAAAAAAGGGTCTTGGGGAGAATCTAAAGGCTGGAGAGATCCTGGGAAAACTGAGAGCTCACAGGCAGCAGGGTGGGCTTGAGGGAAAGCGAAAGCAAGCCAAGGTAATTTTCCCATTCCTTCCTCCCAGCGCTCCAGGGGAGGAGGCCATCGGGGCAGCTGCAGGAGGAGCACTGGGAGATGCTGCCCAAGCTCTTTGCTTCAGTGCTGGTGGTGAGAGAACTGGGCTGGGGAGTGCAGAGGAGACAGGCGCGACCAAAGATGACAATGTGAAACCAGCTGAGGAGGGACAAGCAAGGAGCCATGGAGCCAGGAGGCATCTCCAAGGCTTCTGAAGGAGCTGGGAGATGATGAACCAGCTGCTCCCCAAACAGCCCTCCCTGCCTGCTCCCAGGAAGGGTGGTCTGGAGCCTGGCAGTCGCGATAACGATTTTCTTTTTAATGCGTTCCAGGGTGAGCCAGGAAAGGGCAGGCCACCAACTCTGACAGCCATGCCAGCGAGTTAGCAGGGATGCTCCTGAAAACAGACTTTGTGGGTGCCTGAGTAAACGCACTCTCCCTGGAAAACCAAGATGACTTGGCTGAGACCCAGCTTCGGAGGTGCCGGCAGTGACGTAGGGGAGCGACACACACGATGCGGCCCTCTTGGGCGTGCAAGGGGCTGGTGGCGACACGTTCACCGAAGGCTTCCCGGGAAGTGGAGCAGCCTGGGGAAAGGGGCTGGCTGGTGCCCGGAGCAGCCGCTGCTGATGCAGCTGGTCCCGGTGCCAGGCCAGCCAGGCAAACAGCCCATCTGGGGACCGGGGGCAAGTAAAGGGAGGCACTGAGAGCCGGGCTCTCACCCCCATGCTCGGGTCAACAGCCTGCTTGGGGGGGCTGGGAAGCTCGGCTTAAACAAAGACGCCGGCCAGCTGCACATGGGACCCTGGGTGGGAGCCTCCGCACAGCCCGGGCGCTGCCGTCCAGCTGCAGGTCCCACCAGGCTCTGGTCCTGCCTGGGGTTGCTCACCCGCTTGTGCTTTCTCTATTTTAAAGGCAGCTTCTCTGTGAAGCGCTTTGCGGCTTGACTGGACGTAGATGGCTCTCTTTCTGCTGCCGGTACCTCTCCAGGTACCCCAGGTACCCCATTCCCAGCAACAGGAGCCTTCTGCCTGGGGACCCAGGCGCCAAGGCCGTGGAACCTGGAAGCGTGCCGGCAGAGCGGCACTGCCCTCCCGAGCATCCTCCGGCGGTTCCCATGGTAACTCCCCGGCTTACAGGCTCCAGAGCCCGCATGGTTTTAGCCGCACGCCATCACGGCTTTAGCCACACGTGCCCCGCGCTGTGCCCACCGCCCCAGCTCCCGTGCCAGGGTCTCATCGCCCTCCGTCCCCTCCTCTCACCATGGCCATCCCCCTCCTGCCATCCAGGACCTCCCAGCCTCTCTGCAAGGGACCCACCGCCTTGCCCCCCACTGCAGAGCGCTGCTCCACCAGCCCCCCCAACAAAAGTGCCTTCCCCAGAGCCCTGCTAAGGCCTTAATTCTCCTTTTTTCTGCAGCGTATCATGCAGAATACAAGGAAAAACTGGTGACAGGTGAGAGGAGCATGGAATTCACAGAGGAAAGGGGAGCTGAGCAGGACAAGTGGGTCTGTATATGGGTCATTTCCCACCTCTGCACTTCGGTAGGTCCCAGCTCTGCGCATCCCAGGACTGCCTGGCTGGGTGGACGCCTGCTAGCCCAGCACCTGCATCTGAGGAGATTTTCCCCAATTTTTGGTGCCGGCACCCAGCTCCAGTCTCACGCTTTAAAACCAGTGCAAAAAGAAAAGGGCACAGCTAATGATTTCTAGAGAAAAAAAGCGTTGCAGCAAGGCTTGAAGCTCGATGTCAAATAGACTGAGAGGTAACGATGTGAGAAAGAGGAGAAAAAACCCGGCACAGCAAAGCCTTGCTCTGGGAGCCAGAGCCTGACAAGGCTCAATTCCCAGAGTTGGAGCAAGGCAGCCTAAAGTTAGGAGTAAAGACTTTCTGTCACTTGAAACCTCCTGAATCCATCCATGGCTTTCTGGAGGAAGGATTTAACCAAGCTCAGGTCCTTGACCAGCCTCCGAAGTCAATGGACAACATCCTAAGGAATAAAATGAGCGGACACACAGATAGCCATGGGCTGCCGGGGCAGAGTCACCCCACAACCTGCTGGGCTGGTGAGACTCAGCCAGGAAGGTCCACCTGGCTCTCACGACACATTTAGGAGGAGTCCATATCAAGGCAATTAAGATGCCTTGGAATGAGTGGGCAAGTCCCCACGTGAATAAATACCTGGTTAAAACACAAAGTGGGCATTCTGCAGCAGCGCGAAGGGCAGGGCGGCCCCCCGGGGCTCTCCGCACAGCCCGGCGCTCCTCCAGCGGCTGGGAAAAGGGAGGCGATTGGGTTTGCTGATGATACCTGCTTGATCAGGGTGAGAAGATGAGGGCTGGCTGGGAGGAGCTGCAAAAGCATCTTACAGGACTGCCAGCAGGCCGAGTTCAGCCTCGGCACACAGGGAAAAATCCAGCCTGTCTGTACAACAGCGAGCTGCCCTCACAAAAAGGAATAGAGTGCTTCTTACCTGGATGGTCAATCCAGCGATAGCTGGGAAGCACCAGCACGGTGCTGGATGCTCTGACACGCGGGATGAAGGTGCAGCTCCACG